GAGCAGGACGAGGGTGGAGACAGAGGGGGCCTGAGGAGGCCGGGCCGGAGGCGCAGAGAGCAGCGCGACAGTCACCACCTCACGTGCCGCTCGCCGGGCTCGCGAGACTTCGGCGACGCAGCCGGAGGAGGTGCTGAGGCGAGGGGCGCGCGCGGACCCGGGAAACGGCGCAGGCGCGGGTAGCGGAATGCGCAGGCGCGGGGTCTTCCGGACGCGTCGGCGCCGCCGCGGCGCTGTCTGGAGGGCCGGATTCTCGCTTGGGGCCCCGGGGTCCCGCTCACTGCTGTGGCTGGGAAAGGCGCGGGATCGAGTCAGCGTTCCTCTGTGTTGCTTTCCTCATTTTAAAAATAACGCTTGCGGCCGGGCGCGGTGGCTCACATCTGTAATCCCAGCACTTTGGGAGGCCGAGGCTGGCGGGTCACGAGGTCAAGGATCGAGACCAGCCTGGCCAAGATGGTGAAACCCCCGTCTCTACTAAAAATGCAAAAATTAGCCGGGCGTGCTGGCGCGCGCCCGTAATCCCAGCTACCCGGGAGACTGAGACAGCAGACTCGCTTGAACCCGGGAGGCGGAGGGTACAGTCAGCCGCGATCGCGCCACTGAACTCCAGCCTCGTGACAGAGCTGGACGCCCTCTCAGGAAAAAAAAAACACTTTTGTGCTTTAAAGGACACCAAAAACATGAGAAATCCACCCACAGAACAGAAGAAAATACTTGTAAGTCACATTATCTGACAAGGAATTGTATCTAGAATGCAGGAAACTTACAACTCAGCAATAAAAAGACAATCAATTGAAACATCCGGAAAGGATATGAGTATTTTTCCAGCGCGTTATGCAAATGGCCAATAAGCACCCGACGATGCTGAGCCCGAGGCGGAGGCTCGGGGCTGAGTCCCGGGTGTGAGAGGCCGGGAGCTCCAGAACAGCCTGGGCAACAGGGCGACCCCCCGTCACTACAAAAAACAGGAATAAAAGAATGCTCCACATCATTAGGCGTGAGGGAGATGCAAATCAAAGCTGCAAATGGATGCCACCTCACGCCTCCTACGATGGCGACAATCAAAAAGACAAAATACCCCTCAGCAGGGCTGTGGAGAAATGGGAATCCCTCTCCTGTTTGGTGGGAATGTAAGATGCTACAGACGCTGTGGAAAGCAGGCTGGCAGTTCCTGAAAGGTTAGCGTTAACGCAACACTCAGCAAGTCCCCCTTTTAGATATACGGACAAGAGAAATGAAAGCATGTGTCCAAGCCAGGCGCGGTGGCTCAGGCCTGTAATCCCAGCACTTGGAGAGGCCGAGGTGGGTGGATCACGAGGTCAGGAGATTGAGACCATCCTGGCTAACATGGTGAAACCCCGTGCCTACTAAAAACACACAGAAGTAGCTGGGTGTGGTGGCGCCCGCCTGTGGTCCCAGCTACTTGGGAAGCCGAGTCAGGAGAATCGCTTGAACCCAGGAGGCAGAGGTTGCAGTGAGCTGAGATTGCACCACTGCACTCCAGACTGGGCGACAGAGCAAGACTCCATCTTGGGGAAGGTGGGGGGAGAAAAAAAAAAAAAGGAAAAGAAAGCGTATGTCCACATAAAAGCATGTGTGTTCTTAGTAATATTATTCATAATAGCCTAAAGTGGAAGCACACTGAGGGTATATTTATGAAGGGGTGAATAAACTCTGGTATAGTTCATATGATGGAATGCTATTCAGCCGTAAAATGGAATGAAGTACTGGCACATGAATCAGTCTTGAAGACCTACTAATATACGGTTCTATTTATGTAAGATGCCCAGAATAGGCAAATCCATAGCGACAGAAAGATTAGTGGCGGCCTAGGGCTGCCAGGGGGTGAGGTGAAATAAGGAGCAATTGATAACGGCTATGGGTTTTTTGAAGGCGAGGGATGAAAATGTACTAAAGTTGACTGTGCTAATGGTTGCACAGCTCTGTGAATACTAAACGACATAGAAGTGTATACTTCAAGTGGATACACTTTATGGTATGTCAATTATATCTCAATAACGTTGTTTTAAAAAAAAAAAATCACCTCACCCACCCTATGCCAGGCTTCCCCAGGAAGTGACTAAAGGTAAAGTTCTTCTATAGCGACTTCCGGAACTTTCCCACGTATATCAAATGCATCGGAACCTAATCCCTTGACTGAGGGGTGAGCATTTTCACTGTTCCGAGTAGCCCTCTTGCACGAACACTGACACAAATGTGTATTTGACAGAACAGATTTGTGGATTAGACTCACCAGGGTGAAGAGTGTGTACGTTTGAAATGTCTCAGCACTACCAACAGATGCATTTTCCTGCACAGGCTGCATAACATTTTTTTTCTGAAATTCCCAGAATGGAAAATGACATATTCTTCTATGTTGCATTTCTTTGATTAAGAGAGAGAGCTGCATCACCTGATTACTTGCAGGGTCTGAGAATTGCCTTCTTGTTTTCTTGGTAGGTTGTCTGTTCTTTGATGGCTTGGCTGTCTTCTAAGGAATAGATTCCCTCTGTTACAGATTTTGCAAGCCTTTACCCCAGTCATGCCTGTTTTGATTCTATGTATAATCAAAAGGTTTGTGAGTTCTCCCACACTTCCCAGGAGTACCTCTGGAATGGAGATGAGAGTGCAGGAGCAGGGCTTGAGGCTGGAAGGATGACATGGGACAGATGGGGGTGGGGGAACCCAGGGAAATGGCTGCTGATGGTACTGGAGGCCTCCTTACAGGGACACTGAGAGTCTGTGTGCCACCAGACGAAGGCACCAGAATTGTGACTCAGGCCTCCCTCTTCTAACCTGACCGTGCTGCTGACCCAGTGGGCAGAGCCTTGAGGCTCCAGACTGGCCTCCTGCCGGTAACTCTGGTACTAATTGTTTGTTATTTAGACTATAGTAGTCAGGCCGGGCGCGGTGGCTCATGCCTGTAATCCCAGCACTTTGGGAGGCCGAGATGGGTGGATCACCTGAGGTCAGGAGTTCGAGACCAGCCTGGCCAACATGGTGACACCCCATCTCTATTTAAAAAAAAGAAAAATAGAGAAAATAATAATAATAATAATGAGTGCTGGAACTGGTTAAAGCACAGGGAGCTCACCATGCCCCCAGCCCACGGAGGTCCTGGGTGTGCCCTTGCCTGCGCAGGGCTGGGGGCAGGGCTGTCCAGAGAGCAGCACTCCATCCCAGTCCCCTCTCATGGGCAGCACTTCAGAGTCCATGTCAGCACTTCATGGGCAGTTGTAGAATGAGACTTCATTGTGACACCCTGTCACACCCTGTCCTGAGGGTCAGTGGGTACCACTTTGGACCTTGGTTTCCTCACCAGTAACAGGGCTCAGAGCACATGGTCCCTAAGTAAGTCCCAGCTCTAAGCTTTCCCGGTGTCTTCTGGACAATGAAGTACCAGGGCCACCTCCACTTGTTACAGGAGACATCCTCAGACTCTTCTGTGATGAGATCCCACACCTCTAAGTCCTCCTCATTTAAAATTAAATAACAGTTTCATAACTGCTTTTTTGATGGTAAGTAGATTTCTGGAAACTGAAACCCCCGACCCTTCCTCCCAGCCTGGGCCTGACCTTAGCAGGGCAGGAGGCCTTATCAGTCCTGCCACTTGGTCTGGGCCTCATAGGGCCACCACCATATGCAGGAGGGCCGGGTGGGGTTCACGGACGCTATCTGGGACTTGCCTGGCCACCTCCACCTTCTCAGCTGAGTGTTACTGCCCCAGCAGGGAGACCCACTCATGCACAGTAGTAACAGGAATAATTTAAAATTCATGCTGCAAGTTGCTGAGCGTCCTCCCAGCACTGAGGTGGGGGCTAGTCTAATCCCCATTGAAGAGATTAAAACAGTGAAACTAGGACTCACAAGGCAAATTAACCTGCCCAGGGTCACTGAAGGTCCACTCTCACGGAAGCGTTTGCAGATACCCAGCCCAGCATTCTGCTGAGTGTCCAGTGGCATGTAAATGGCCAGACACCCTGTGAGTTCAGCCTCAGCTGACCAGGCACAGAACATGCCTGAAGCTTGGAATACAGGCCAGAGGCCAGTGGGCACCAGCATCCTAGACACACTGCACAGGCTCAGGCTCAAACCAAGACTCAGGGACAGGAAGGCACACGCCCCAGCCCCAGCCCCAGCTGGCCTCCGAGCCCACACAAACCCTCAGCGCGTCTTTTCTGCTCCATGGAAGCCTAGGACATGTTTCATAACGTCCTGGAACTTCCGTATCCTCATCTTTCCAAAGGTATTGATGGCCAGGTACAGTGGCTCACACCTGTAATCCCAGGCTTTTTGGGAGGCTGAGGCGGGTGGATCTCTTGAGCTCAGGAGTTTGAGGCCAGCCTGGGCCACATGGCAAGACCCCATCTCTACTAAAAATATACAACTTTGGCCAGACATCGTGGCTTATACCTGTAATCCCAGCACTTTGGGAGGCCGAGACGGGCAGATCACGAGGCCAGGAGTTCAAGACCAGCCTGACCAACATAGTGAAACCCCATCTCTACTAAAAATACAAAAATTAGCTGGGTATGGTGGCATTCACCTGTAGTCCCAGCTACTCAGGAGGCTGAGGCAGTAGAACTGCTGGAACCCAGGAGGCAGAGGTTGCAGTGAGCCGAGGTTGTGCCACTGCACTGCAGCCTGGGTGACAGAGCAAGACTCTGCCTCAAAAAAAAAATAAAATAAAATAAATAAAATAAAGTGCAAAAATCAGCCAGGCACATTGGCACGTGCCATAGTCCAGCTACTCAGGAGGCTGAGGTGGGAGGATCACCTGAGCTAGGGAAGCTGAGCCTGCAGTGAGCTGAGATCTTGACAGTGCACTCTAGCCTAGAGGATGGAGTAAGAAGACCCTGTCACAAAACGAAACGTAACAAAACAAAACAAAAAAACCCACTAAGGATAATAAACCCTCCCTCACAGGGTGGTTGTCAGGGTCAAGCACCCGGAATGAAGAGTCTTGGTGGCATGTGCAGAACTCAGAAAGTGCTCGATAAATGTCAGCCGACCAGACGCGGACTTCCCCCAACACAGTCAATTCAAAGTGGACTGTCGCCAAACGAAGAAGACCACACAGTAAAGCTTTTAGAAATGTGGTCTAGTGGCCACACAAGGTGGCTCACGCCTGTAATCCCAGAACTTTGGGAG